TCCCCTGACCACACGCTCTCTGGAGTCGACCTAGAACCTGGCACACACAAGGTGTCCAAAGAAGCATGGTGAGTGCAGCCTGGCACATGGCCTGAGTGTGGAGAGACGTGGGGGGGGGCACGTCCCCTACACACACTGATGGGCCCATGGTGGGTGGGAGGGTGAGACCGCCCTGAGTCTGCAGCGCACAGGGGGTGGAATCCTGCTTTCAGGTCCATGCAGAGTGGCTGTCCTCCGACAGTCCAGAGAGGAGGCACTGCCCTGAGGTGCCCACCGAGGCTGCCTCGGCCAGGACCTCAGGGACAAGGTGAAGAGGGGACAGGGGAGCTGACTGGGTACGGGTTTGGTGGAGAACCTCTCAGCCCGTCTGCACCCTGGGCTCTGCACGTTGGGAGCAAACCCCGGAGGAGAGGAGAGGGCGTGAGGTGCCAGGTTCCTTTTGAACAATGGCCCCTGGGGGCTGAGCACGGGGGCAGGCGACGGGCAAGCGTGGCTGGCACCGGAGGCCTACGGTGGGGCCCTGCTGAAGCTCATGCTTGGCTAGACACTCCCTCCCTCCCACCGAAGCCCCGGCCTCACCAGCCCCAGCGCCAGGGCAGCAGAGAAGCAACACACGCTTGGATGAGGCCCGTGGAGGGGCTGGGCCAGGGGTTCTCACAGGCCCAGAGACCTCAGGCCACATGGTCATAAGAGTGGGAGGGCTGGTCAGGGGGTGGCCACGACCCCACAGTCCTTCCCCTGGATTCTGAACAAGACTCGACAGTGCGCATATAGCCTGCAGTCTCACCCTGACCCAGCTCTGCCTGTGACCTGCTGTGTGTTCCTTAGACAGGTCCCTCTCCCACTCTGGGCCTCATTAGAGGACTCTGAGCTGTAGCCTCTGAGCTCCTCCTACCTCCCATCAGTTGATTGGGGGGTGGGCTGGCCCCCCCGGAAGAAGTGGCTGTCTGCTCCCATAAAGATTGAGACTCAGAAACCCTCTCTGGGTTTGTTGTGAGTCAAAGCCACCTGCCAACACTTGGGAAGCTTTTATATACACACGGGAAGTCAGGGAATGCCTGAATCCATGAGCAGGGATTCTCTCAGCGTTGTGGGCGGTCCGTCTTCCCTGTGACCCTGGGCAAGGACCTGCACCTCCCGGAGGGCAGTCCGTCATCTGCAGCCTGGGGCACTCACAGCATCTAGTGCATGCATGGCTGTGAGGAATCCCCGAGATGACGCTGGGGAAATGCCTCCCCTGAGCCCAAGGGGCAGTAGGAGTCGCTCAGCTAGCAAGGAGCGGCGGCTCTACTTTTATGGGCACTACAGACCAGTGGCCTGCCCTCTGCCGCTGAGCGTTGGAATGCGGGTCTCAGAAAACCAAACCCCATTGCTGCTGAGTTGATCGTGCCCCTTTCTCAGTCATCCACGACACAGAAGGTGAAGGAGACAGCGGTAACCTGACTGGGCCACCAGCTGGAACCACTGCCTGGTCAGGCACCCATTCACTCATGGGTGGCCTTTGGTTGGGGCATCCCATCCTGCCTTTCCAGCCTCTCCTGGTCAAAAATAGCTGATTTTCTCAGTCCAGGCACTGTGACACTGAAGCAGTAGGCCAGCCAGAGCCCATGGTCAGAACTGCAAAGAAGCTCTCTCTCTAGTTTCCCAGAAGGCCAGAGCAAGTCATACACCGTGCATGGGGCGAGTGGTCTGAATGCCACAGGATTTGGGTCTAAGGTAAAATCGTGTTGTCAGCAGGGGCTCAGGCAAGCAGCCCCCCTCAAAGGCGCATGGCTTTTCAAGTCTAGTTGTTCTCCCCATCTACATGTGCAATGCCTCCAGGTGGTGCAAATAATTAATGTGCTAGTCTGCTACCCAAGAGCCTAGAGGTGCTTACAAGAAAAGCCTAGTGCTCTCCTTCTGAAATGAGCATGGGAAACCCTGTGGGGCATAGTTCTACCCCGACACACATGCGGGTGCCCTGAGTTGGATTGACTCAGTGAGTTAGTTAATTGTGCCAGCCTGGCCGATAATCACATGTGGGGCTAATTGAAAGGCAGAGGGATAAATGGGTGGTGAGCCTCGCCTTTCTAGTTCTCAGGTCTCTTGTTTTGTGATGGTTGTACCGGGAGCAGCTGCCTTAGCAGTTCCCTGCTT